CAGGCTATGTCTGCATATTCTCACTGAAGTGCAGAATTGAGACTGTTAACTCAAGCCCAATGTAAAGTACTTTTTTGATTATTTATGATCCCACCCATATAAGTGATATCTGAATTAATGAAGATTATACAGTCCCATGATGATTTTATTACGTAAGAATGTGTAATGTAATGGGATAAAAATGGGCATTGGTATCCAACTTATCTGAGGTTGAATACAGGGTCCACTGTTTACTCCCTTTTTGCATTTCTGTTAATCAAAAAGTGTGGGTTTTGTGAGGATTAGAGGTAATATTTGGGAAATGACTAGCTTAGCAGTTGGCATAGAAACTCTAAATCTGTTAGAAGAGAAAAATTTATGTGTGTGGGGGGTGGCATGGGAACATATCCCTGAGTGTATTCACTTTATTTCTCCTTTACCCCCAGATCTAGAGCTCCTTAGCCCTTGTAAGGATGTGCCCCCTCTTTCAGAACAGCTCTTTATCAATCATGTCCCAGAATAGGCAATGCCTCCTCTGTGGGTGGAATGCTACCTTCTCCCTCTGGCCTGGGTCTCTTAATATTTACCTCTTCTTTCTCTTCTGTCAGGACTCCAGGTCTGAAAGTGGTGCTTCCCCCAATACCTCTGCATCCAGGCTAGCTACATGTAAAGAAGTTTTGGCCTTGAAGGATTTTTTGGAAAACCATATAGTGAAGTAGAACAAGTGTTCTACTTATGCCAGGAGTGATGTGACATTAGGCAAATCAGTTTACTTCTCTGGACCTTGGTGTCTCTTCTGTAAAAGGAAGGGTTGAGTTGGATTGAGTCAGTGAATAGAATCAGTGTATTAATACCCAATGCTACTGCAGGCATGTTAATATTACAGTATTATCAGCAAGGACTGCAGCTATCAATGTACAACCAACAATTCTCCCCATCCTCTACAGGGTGATGTGCAAAGAACATGGGCTTTTGAGTAAGAGGAACTCAGTTCAGGTATCCTTGTTATTAGAATCTAACAAACAAATGCAAACTCTGTGACAAAATGCTAGGTCTTTAAGTTTCAAATAAACTTTCCTCCTCTTTTAAAATGTGAATATATTACTTCTCTCATTGGGTTGTCATAGGACTGAATCAGATCATGTTTGTATAATGCTGGGACATGGAATCCATTTTTTCTGGGGAGGCCTTTAAATCCAGTATAAGTGCTCAGTTTTCACCTTATGCAACACTATCAGAATCATATGACACAGATGATCACACTGTCCTTCTCGAAACACTTTATTTGTATTTTCATACCTCTCTTTCCTATCTCTTGGACTTCTCCTTTTTTTCTTTATTGATGTTGGAGAGGAAGGGAAAGGGAGAGAGAGAGATAGAAACATCAATGAGAGAGAACATCAATTGGCTGCTTCCTGCATGCCCCTCATTGGGGATTGGGCCCACAACTTGGGCATGTGCTGTAACTGGGAATCAAACCATTAACCCCTCGGTGTATGGGTCGAAGCTCAACCACTGAGCCACACCAGCTGGGTTGGACCTCTCCTTTTCTGTCTCCTTAGCTGGATCCTCCTCATCTTCCTCACCCCTAAATGAGGGCACACATCAGGCTTCTCTATAGTACTAGGTTATCTCATTCAGTCTCATGGTTTTAAATGGCAGCTTTAAGCTGATTATGACAATATTTATATCACCAGCAGAGACCTCTTCTATAAAGTCCAGATTCGTATGTGCAGCTGCCCAGTTGACATCTCCATTTGGTTGAATAATAGGCATATTAAATTCAACATGTTCCAAATTGAACTTTTCATCTTCACATCATCCCTTTCTTCATAAATGACAAATCTACTCTTCAGTTACATAGGCCAAAAAACCTTGCAATTATCTTATACTCCTTTATCAGTCTACTAATAAATCCTGTTGTTTTGGCTGTCATGTATATCTGGAATCTGATTACAGGTTACTTCCCTTCTGCCACCTTTCTAGCTCAAGTGACTGTCGTCTTCCATCTTGACCATTGTAGTATTTTTTTTTTCCTTTATTGATTTTATAGAGAGAGGAAGTGAGAGGGAGAGAGAGATAGAAACATCAATAAGCGAAAACATCGATTGGCCACCTCCAGCATGCCCCCCACTGGTGGTCAGGCCCACAACCTGGGCATTGAACCCGTGACTTCTTGGTGCATGGGTCGATGCTCAACCACTGAGTCACACTGGCTGGACTTATTGTAGTATTTTTTTAACAAATCTCTCTGCTTCCATTTTACCCCCTCTCCTCACAGCAGCCAGAAAGATCCTTCAGCAGCATAAGCATAGTATCATGTCACTTGTCACAGATTGGGTTTCCCTGGAAGCAGACTGAGGTAGACTTTAGCATGTAGAACTTTTTCAAGGAGTGTCCTTGGGATCAACATATGTGGAAAGGAGAAGAGGGTCTGGATTGGGTAGACAGAGAAGTCAGGAGGTTATGCAGGCCCAAGGATAGGCTTGGCCAACCACATGTTGGACTTTAGAACTAGAATGGTGCTTCAGAGTTGCTTCAGGTTGAGCTAAGATGGCCAGGCCTTTATGCCCTCTCATCAATCAGTCATGGATGTGCTCTGTCCTGTGAAGGGTACAACCTCAAGCAAGGCATCCCTCTGCAGCTGAAACAGGCCCTGAAGGGTGTGTAACCAGTCAGCCAAAAATACTCCTAGGCAACAGGGAGTATCTGAGTAGTACAGGGCCCATGACTCTGCTACCCATTTCCCTCCAGTGACTTCCCATCTTACTCAAAATAAAACCCAAAGTCTTTATCATTTCTCTCTGACCTCATCTCCTACCACTCTTTCACTCACCCCCGAAAGCCACATTAGGCACCTGGAAGTTTCTTGAACCTCCCCTTCTCCTACCTCCCACCAGTATACTCCTATCTCTGCACTTGCTGTTTCTTCTGTCTGCCAAGTTCTTCCCCCAGATATCCACAGGACTGGCTCCCTCACTTTATTCAAGTCTCTGCTCAAATTTTGTTTCATCAGAGGGGCCTTCTCTCACTAATCTACAACAAATAACACACTGCTTTTTTATTTTTATTCAATTTTTATTTTTAGCTCTTAAATTATTACCTAATGCAGAGCTATATATAGTCTGTCCATCCACTACCTCTACTTGGATACAAACTCTGCAAAAGACAACCTTTGTTTTTATTCACTGCTATATCTCCAGTGACTATAACAGTGCCTGGCACATAATAGATGTTCAGTAAATATTTGTTAGCTATAATTATTTTTTTGGGAGCAGAACAGTATTCCATAGTAAATAAGAGCTAAGGCATTGGGCTGAAACAAACCTAGGTATTGTTTGTGATTATAAAATTATGAGCTGGGAAATGTAGGATATGATTTTTGTTCTCACTGCATCTGAATTTTCTTGGTTGTAAAATGTAGATGATTATACTACTGTATACATAATAGGCTTGTGGTGAGATCTAATGGGATAATGTTTGTAAAGCATCATTAAGCACCAGATGGATAACACTGACAATCTAGATATTGCTTATATGCTCAGTGCCTAGTATGTAAGTGCTCAATAGTTGGTAGTTATTTTTTTTCATTTATGATAAGTATATGGAATTACTTGTGGTTAGAGTTGTTTTTGATGAACCTGTGATTGTTTAAACGGTGCAAATAAATGTTTTAATTCATCATTTTATAGTGCCTTGTAGGTAGCCTAGGCTGATATATCACTTTTTTCAATAGGGAGAAATTTGGTTTATTTTCATTTGACATCAGAGAGTTTCAATCCAACAAAAATTTTAATATGTGGTGTTGGAGAATGTTCTCATTAAATGCAATGTGTGGAAAGGAAAATTCCAAAGAAATCTTGTGATATCTTTTGCAGGAAAAAAAAATCATCCTTAGGTAATTAGAATCATCATTCTATAATGGGTGTTTTGAAAATCTGGATGTATGCATACTTGATTTTCTGAAACACAGTGGAACGACTTGCTGCAATGCTTCTTACAGTGTGTGTATATATTTACTGTATAAAAGGCTTCTTCAGCAGTTTTATTGATGGTGAAAATGTAGGAGGGATGTCAGCAAATACATGTTTTAAGCTCTTGTCAATCTGCCTACAAAAGGCTTAAAATTTTTAAAGAAAAATATCTTTGCAGATTTTATTTAAATTGTTATTTCACAAATGTACAGTCTTTCTCTAGTAGAAGTTCCTCTGGGCAGTAACAGCAGAAAGAGAAAGTGTGAAGGGCAGACAGTGGGAAGTACCTTTGAATGTCTGCTGTAGCCCCCCTGGATCAGTCTAAAAGAGGCGAGCAGGAAAGGCTCTGCGAAGTAGGAAGGTTTGCAGTGTGATTCTTATTAATAAGAGCAGATGCAAAACCCAGGTCAGCCCTTATTATTCACTACCACAAATGACACCAATCGAACATAGACAATCACTGCTTTTAAAGAGGTCGGAAATACGAGTCCTCTCTCCAATTAAGTCTTTTTTTTTTTTTTTAAATGTTCATAGCAGCTTTATTCATAACAACCAAAAAACCAGAAACCACTTCAATATTCTTTGGGAATAAACAAATGATAAAGTATCCATGCAATGGATACTGGTATGCAGTAAAAAGGAACAAACTACTGATGCACGTAACAAGGAAGAATCTCGAAAACATTACGCTAAGCAAAAGAAGCCATCTGCCATGCATGCTGCAAGATTCAATCTGTAAACAATTGTACAACAGCCAAACCTAACCTACAGTGATAGAAAACCGATCACTGACACCTGGTGCTGGAAGTCCTGCGGAGTACCGACCCAAAAGGGCCAGTGGGGCAGATTAAAGTGTCCAATTAAGACATATTTTACCACTCTGCGTGAGTAATACAGCTAGATTTACACAGCACCAGTAAGAAGACGCTAGAGCGGATCCTTGAATCTACAGGGAAAACGCAAAGTTGCGCTGACCAAAGGGCATCCAATCGGCGCCCGATTCTCAATGGCCAATCAAAGCGTGCCTTACATTGTGGAGCCGGGAAAAAGGGGCCGGAAGTCTCTGTCTGCCGGGTGTTGCTGCTTTTGTCTCTTGGAGGCAGTGCACCCCTGAGCTGCACTTGTTACCTGAGCACGAAGGGACAAGCAGTTCAGCCCTTTTCTGTGCTGGCTGGATTTGCTTGTATTTGTTCCTAGTCACTGCTCATGTAATGCACTCCCTTAACCAGGAAATTAAAGCATTCTCCCGGAATAATCTCAGGAAGCAATGCACCAGGGTGACAACGCTCACTGGAAAGAAAATTATAGAAACATGGAAAGATGCCAGAATTCATGTGGTGGAAGAAGTAGAGCCGAGCAGTGGGGGTGGTTGTGGTTATGTGCAGGATCTTAGCTTGGATCTGCAAGTTGGCGTTATTAAGCCATGGTTGCTCCTGGGTGAGTATATCGATTTGTCATTAAGTCCTCTGATCATATTACTTGATCATTATTTCCCTTAATATGTAATAGTTTGTGCTATCCAGCTCTCCTTCCGAAAAGTAAAAGTCTTTCCTTTTTTGGACATGGGACTTACATTAGCTAGCTAGAGATGTTTCTGCCCCCACAATATAGCCATTGGAAGTGTAGATTCTAGCAGCACATAGCACCTGGTATTTGAATTTTGGAAAAGCTTTCTTCCCGTTTTTCTAACTTCTCTGGAGTATAACACATTAATGTAATGTTGTCTTTAATTATAAAAGGATATCACTTTTAAAAATGAAATTTAAGAGAATGCTTTTATTAGGAAAAACTAAAAGTTTTAACTTAAAGTTATAGAAAAGTTAGTACTTGAAATAGTCAAGTGCTTGTTTGCCTGCTCTACTGTTACCAATCATAAGGAATGCATGCCTCCTGTGACCACATCTGTCCATGGTGGCTGTTTATAGAATGTTAAGGAAAAGGTGGACTTTATTTTATAGTTATGCGTCTGATAGTTTTATGACTTTTTGTATTATGGAAAAATATGGATTTTCTGTACAAAGATTAGTCTACAAAGAGCAAATGAAGCACAGTTATAAAAGTATAAACTTGTTAGCTTGTCAAGAATATGTATGGTACAGTAGTCTTAAAAAATAGTCAACAGCCCTGGCCGGGTGCTCAGTGGTTAGACCTTTGGCTTGCAGTCCAGAGAGACCCTGGTTCGGTTCCCACAAAGGGCACGTACCTGGGTTGCAATTTGTTCCCGGCCCTGGTTGGGTCGTGTGGGTGGCAACCACTGGATGTGTCCCTTTCACATTGATGTTTCTCCCCCTCTCTCTACCTCCTGTTCTATCTGAACAAAAAATGGAAAAAAGAAAAGTCCTTGGGTGAGGATAAAAAAAAAAAAAGTCAACAATGTTTACAAGTTGGTTTGAATTATTTTTCATTTATGAATAGGGAAATTAGGTCTTGGAAAGATTAATAATTTGTCAATATTTATGCAGCCAAGCCATTCTTGAGTGAAAGCACTGGACTGGGAGTCAGAAATAGCCAGTTGCACACAGCATCTCTTACAAAAACTCTGTGAAGTAGGGACCTTCAGCTCCATTTTGCAGGTGGGAACTGAATTTAATATTGGTTAAGTAACTCGCACAAGGTTAATACACCTAGTATATAACAGCTGGACATCAGGCTCAAGTCTGATTGACTCCTGCTCTCTGTGCATATATGGACGGTCTCAGGAAGTTCAGGCTTTCAGCCCTGCTGCGCCTCTAACTTAACTAGGTGATCTAGTATAAGTCAATTATCCTTTCTGGTCCTAAAAGCCATCTGTAAAGCTGAAGTAACAGTATCGCTTATCTCATAGGGTTGTTTTGAGGTTGTTGTAAAGGGGTTTTACAACAACTGTGTGTGTGTGAAAAAGATTTTGAGACAAATCAATTGCAGTATACATATGTATTGTTATTGTACTGTTATATGAATTGTTGCATGAGCTGTCTTTAAATTCACCAAGATCTCCAACTAGTTTCTGAAGCCCAGTGAAAAATTAAGTGGGCCATCTAACTAGTCTGGAAAGTTCACCCGGGAGTGCACACCATTTCTAGGAAAGGAAATATATCCAGGCACATTTTTCAGTGATTTGGCTTCCATTGTTGTAATAATGGTTTAAAATTATTGTAGAATTTTAAACTATGCTTATTATTACATTTTATCTAGACATATCCGAAGTGAGCTGATCAAGGCAATCTTCTCATATTGGCATTGGAACCCTTCCCAAGATCCTAGGAAAGTTCTGGAGGGGCTTCTGAAACTGGTCCTTATTTGGTTCCCTCTCTGGACCAGGAAATGGGATATTTTCATCAGGACAGCCTCTTTTCTTCTGAGAGGTAGATCGACCTGGTTCTGCCTAGTTACAACTGCCTTATTCCTGAGGGACCCTCGTATGGTTACATCTAAAGTTCTTCCACATGAATGATGCAGGGGTTGTTTCTGACCAGACTAGGTTTCTTTCTGGAGATGGGGGTTGTTTCTAGGTTGCTTCCCATAGCTTTTTTTATCTCTTCAAAGCAACACAACTCCAACCCAGCACTATATGCCCATTAACTTTTGTTTTTGGTGGAGAATGAAAAAAAAAAAAAATGGAGAGCTGAATATAATACATACATTTATATTTATGTAAAATATAATGTGTTTAAAATATAATTTAAAATATATTTTGTCTTTTAAAAATATAATCTGTCCTTTTCAGTTAGTTCATAAATTCAAACAAGCTTCTGCCTTTCAAAAATCTTACATAGGCCCTTGATCTTAGTGAGCATTTTTTCCTAGGCTTTGCAAATTATATCTTTACAACAAAAATCACTAGGACTTTTCTTAAGTCAAACTTCATTTGTAAAAGTAGAAAATTCTATTTTTCTTGGGTAGTTAAAAGATGCACTTATTGTTGTTATATCTGCTCTGTTAAGAAGTCCCAGCTGAACCTGGCCGGTGTGGCTCAGTGGATTGACTGCTGTCCCATGAACTGAGAGGTCCTGGTTTGATTCCTGGTCAGGGCACATGCCTGGGTTTCAGGCTCAATCTCCAGTAAGGGTTGTGCAGGAGGCAGCTGATCGATGTTTCTCTCTCACATCTATGCTTCTGTCTCTCGTTCCCTTCCTCTCTCTCTAAAAAATCAATAAAAACATATTAAAAAAAAAAAAAGTTACATTTTGAGATCTTCCCTTAAATTATAGGTGAAAAACTTGGGATCCTTTCTAAGATTGTAGAGGATGTTTAAGATCTAGGAAACCCAATATTCTTGGGGGGCAGATAATACATTAAATTTGAATAGCTATTTATTTTGTAAAATTCTTTCCTAAATATTGCATTGTATCCTATTAATTTATACTCCTATTTCTGTGTATTTATTAATGTTCACTCCTATCAGTTTTCTCAAATTACACATTTCTCTTTGGAATATCATTTATTTTTCTTTTCAGTAATGTAATAATGCCTTTTTGGTTTGTTTTTGTGATGGTGAAAAGTGATTTATAAATTAGGATATGCTACATCAGAATTTATGCAATATTTGGTATTTTCATTAAAAAAGATCTCTTAAAAAATAGAAACAGGGTTTTGGAGATCTTATGTAGCCTGTTTTTTATGATTCATATATTATGATTGCAAAATATTGAACTTCTGCCCTGGCTGGTTTGGCTCAGCAGTTAGAATGTTGACCCGAGAACCAATGAGTTGCCGGTTCGATTCTGGTCAAGGGTATGTACCTCAGTTGCAGTTTGGCTCTATCACATCAATGTTTCTCTCTGTCTCTCTCTCCTTCCCTCCCTCCCACTCTATCTGATGGTAAATAAACAGTATCCTCAGGTGAGGAATTAAAAAAAAAAACAAATTGAACTGGTTCCAAGTCTCAACTCCCCAATAATAGCATGCAATATATACATGGGTGGGCAAAAGTAGGTTTACACTTATGAGTATGTGAAAGTTTATTCTTGTACTGTTATTTATTTGTATTACAACTGTAAACCTACTTTTTCCCACCTTTGTATTGCTTCTAAATCAGTTATCTCATCTGTAATAGTTTCCTAATAAAACTTGGCCAAGATAATGAGTATTAGTAATTTGTGTCAATGTATAATATAACTATAAATTATTATTATTATTATAACTCTTTGTTTAGTTCTATTCCTATTCATCAACTTCATTTATTTTTTATTTTTTTATTTTTTTATCCTCATCCGAGGACATTTTTCCTTTTTTTTTTTTTTTTTTGTACAGACAGAGTGGGAGGGAGAGAGAGGAAGAGAGAGAGAGGGAAACATCGACATGAAAGGGACACATCGAGTGGCTGCCACCCTCACGACCAACCAGGGCCGGGGACAAACTGCAACCGAGGTACGTGCCCTTAGCGGGAACCGAACCCGGGTCTCTCTGGACCGCAGGTGGACGCTCTAACCGCTGAGCCAAACCGGCCAGGGCTCAACTTCATTTTTATTATTTTAAAAACTGTCATACAGTAGAATTGACTTAGTATTCACTTCTATGAATTTTAACACAAGTATAGATTCATGTAGTCATCATTAAAATCAAATTCTTAAAATTGATATTTGTTTTTAAATCTTGATTGAGATCGTTTATAAAAGTATACCATACTATTTTTTCAAAGCAAAGGTTTTAATAACACGTCATAATATATCATTTAGTGTTTATTTCTTTTTTAAAAAATATTTATTGATTTTTTTAGAGAGAAAGGAAGGGAGGGGGAGAGAGAGAGAGAGAAACATCTGATGTGAGAGAGAAACATTGATTGGCTTTCTCCTGCACTACCCCCCACTGGGGAGTGAGCATGAAACTTGGGCATGTGCCCTGACCCGGACGAAGCTCAATCCACTGAGCCACACTGACTGGATTAGTGTTTATTTCTTTTAATAAGTGTTTTACCAATGGAAGTTTAATACAAGACTGCAACACAAAGCAGCCATTTAAAATTGGGAAAAAAAACTGATGTTTATATCTAGAATTTAGAGAGAATTAACTTGAACTGAATACTACTAAGTATTAGATGAAACACATAAGACCATTACCTGAAGTTCATTTGTGTTGACTAAAATTTCCCCCCACACTATTACCACTCATAATTTTCTCATTGTTTGAAAAAACAGAGCATACAAGTAGCATTTTTTATTAGTTCACATTTAATTTTTTCTTTATTGTTGAAAATTTTACAGATGTCAGATGTCCCTTCTTTTTTTCCATTGATACCTTCCTCCCTCCTGCTCCCTTGTTCCCCCCACCCCCCTTCACCACACTGTCTGTGTCCATTGGTTGTGCATATATGCACATAAGTTCTTTGGTTTATCTCTTCCTACCCCACCACCCTCTTCCCTCTGAGATTTATCAGTCTGTTCCCTACTTCCGTGTCTCTGGATCTGTTTTGTTCATCAGCTTATTTTGTTCATTATATTCCATAAATGAGTGAGATCATATAATACTTGTCTTTCTCTGACTGGTTTATTTCCCTTAGTATAATACTTTCCAGGTACAAGTTGCATGTTTTTTGTTTTTGTTTTTTTGCCTCAAGAATACTACTCATTTTCTGGAAGTCACTTTCAAAATATGGCAGCCAACTCTGAAATAGACCTATTCCTGTTTATTTGTTTAAGGACTAGTCAAAGTAGAATTACTATTTCAAAGATGAATGTATGTTAAACCACCAAATTTCAATTAAATATTTGGTCCCATTTCACCCCTCTGGAGATGGTAAGGACTTCTGATAGAAAACTGAGAAATTTTTAAAAAATTATAGAGTGTTTTAAATGTATAGAAAATTCCAGATAATACTATAACAAACAATATGTATCCACCGTTCAGCTTTAACAAATGTTAATATTTTGATAGGCTAAATTTTAAGGAGAATAAAGTTGCATGTAAGCTCAGTGAGGAGCCTGTCAGCTTTTATTACCAAGAGAATATTGACCAACCACACACTTACTGGCCTGTCAGCTGCCTAAAATCATGTCATAGAAGCTGGCAGATTTTCCAGATAGGTAAAGTAAGAAAAACATTGTTTATGGAAATAAAACCTAATTCAGGAAAGTAAAGTACTTGAATAATAAATATCCTAGCTTTTCAATTGTATAATTCACTTTATTTTAACTAGTTATATACTTGTAAGAACGTGCTTATTAACTAGAGTCATTTTCCAAGTGTGGGAAATCTGGAAAGCAAACTTTGACAGGAAGAGACTATAAACGGGTACAGCCCTAGTGGTACGCAGAATGTGGGTGGACTTCTATAGACTAACAGTGTTTGCTTTAATCTACTAGGTGTTTCCAAATCAGCTGGTACTTAGTCTTTTTAAAGGTATTCATTTTTAAACTTCAAAACAAATAGTTATTTATTATAAAAACAAAACAAAACAAATGAGCATAAAAAAGAAAAAAATCACCTGTAGTCCCACTTTTAACATTTTGTTATGTATACTTCTGTCCATTTAAGCACACATATGTTTTTTTTGTTATTAAAGAAATGGATGATGGTATTGTGTAACCTGCTTTTATCATCTACTATACTGGGAATATTTTTCCATGCCCTAAATAAGCTTTGACATTTATCACTTATAATATCTCTATATATTTACTATACAGTTGGACCATCTTTTATTTAATGCAATCCCTATTATTGGGCTTTTTTTTAAAAAAAAACAAGATTAAAAACAACATATTATTGGGTTGTTTGTTTTACTTTTGTGGTATTACAAACAATACTATGATGAACATCCTCATAGCTGATCTTTGTAACATCCAGAACTTCTAGGACAAATTCTTAGAAGTGGGATATCACAGTCCAAGAGTATATACAAGATGAGTATTTTTATAATTACCACCAAGGTGTTTTTAAGAAAATTGAAATGAAGTCCTCCAAATTTGTATTTTTTAAAAATAAATGTATAACTAACAGAATTGTTGCAAAAATTGGATAAAAAGTCAAAATGATTATTTTCATGTTCAAGATGATATGATTTATTTCTTATAGGGTCACAAGATGCTGCTCATGATCTGGATATACTGAAAAAGCACAAGGTAAAAAAAATGTTTTGGTCTGGAACCATGTATAGAAAGTATCTTATTATTATTATTATTTTATTTTTTGGTACGTGCCCTTAGCAGGAACCGCACCTGGGACTCTCTGGTCCACAGGCCGACGCTCCAACCGCTGAGCCAAACCGGCCAGGACTTATTATTATTTTTTAAATTTGTTTTTATTGATTTTTTTTTTTTGACAGAGAGCTAAAAAAACATCAGTGTATGAGAGAAATATTGATCGGCTGCCTCCTGCATGCCCCCTACTAGGGATAGAGCCCACAACTAGAGCATGGGCCCTGAACAGGAATTGAACAGGGACCAATGCTCAATCCACTGAGCCACACTGGCCAGGCTAGAAGGTATTTTAAATGTTACATTTATTGGGAAAAAACTGTTTTGATCCATTTCAGCATTTAATTGGTAACATTTTTGGCTAACGTTTTAATAAAGTTGCAAAAATTATTACATCTAATTCAAATAAATGGATTATAATCCATCTTTCCAGTTTTATTTTCTCTCAGTCTTCCTTCATGTATCCTCATGAACCTGTTTTTGGAGACACATCTTGCCCCTCCTTATGTAGTTCCTCTGTTTGAGATAGGTCTTTCCCTCTTCTTGTCTAAGCTCTACCCAGGCCTTGAGTTCCAACTCAAATAACACTTCTTCCCCGATGCCATTTCCTCCCACCTTCCTCTATGCAACCTAATGTGATTTATTACTCATTTCAATACTTACTAAAAATTTTTTTCTAGTCATATACTATTTTGTCAAGTGCTATTTCAGACTCATGGAATTGCTGTGGTTTGAGAACGCAACAGGTTCTTGTTCACAGGATGCTATGATTTGAGGGGCAGGGAGGGGAGAAAGACAAGTAAGCAGCTATGGTGCAGGGCATTGTGTGCTTTGATGGAGAAGTGCAAGTTGCCATTGGAGTACATAGGAGACACTGCCTTTAACCCATATTTGTTTGGGTTGGGCCAGGTTGGGTTGGGGATAGGAGAGATGGAATTCTTCCTGGAGGGGGTGATGTTGAAGTTTTGGTCTGAAAGGTGATGGGGCGGGAGCAGACAGTGTGAGGACCCATAGGTAAGAGAAAGGTTGATGTTTTTCAGGGATAGAAAAGAAGTTCAGTAACCCTGAAATAGAGAATGTGAGAAAGAAGGGTACCAAGAGACAAGGCCAGAGGTAAGCATGAGTCAGATCACAAAACTCCACGTAAGCCACAGTAAATTGTTTGGATTTGGTCCAAAAGACAGCGGAAAGCCACTGAAAGGTTTTACCCAGGGATCAAATTTTCTTTTTAGAAAGACTATTAATTAGAGGCAGTGTGGAAAATAGATCGGAGGGTTCATCCAGATAGAGATGGGAGACTAGTTATAAGGCTGTTGCACTAATCCAGCAACAACAAAAAAGATGATGGTGGCTTAGATTAGGATTCAGTGGGTGTAAGGAGAAACTGGTGGATTTGAGGATTTTTTTCTTTTTTTTGGTACATGCCCCTAGCGGGAACCGAACCTGGGACTCTCTGGTCCGCAGTCTGACACTGCAACCACTGAGCCAAACTGGCCAGGGTGATTTGAGGATTTTTTAAAAAGAGGGTGTGATCCTCACAATTTAACCATTAATTACCTACAGGTCAGGGTTGGGGGAGGGCAAGGTTGAGGGAAGAGGAGTCATAGCTGATATCCAGCTTTCTTGGGTAACTGAAGAGGGTTGGTGCCATTCCACAGATAGGGAGGGGCAGGTTTTAGAGGAAAAACAACGAGCTGAGTTTTAAACATTTTTTATTTCAGATGTTGGGAATAATCTAGGTTAAGTTATTCAGTAGACAGTGTTGATATATGGTGTCTGAAGTTCAGGTGAGATGTAAAAATATAGATTTAGGAGCCTTCAGCATATACGCAGTGATTAGAATCATTGGAGTAGATTAAATCACCTGGGGAAAGGTATAAAGTGAACAGAGAAACAGGCCTATGACAGAACCCTGAGTAATCCCAAACCATAAGGAATGGTCAAAGGAAGAAGAATTTGTCGTCAGAAAGGTGGAATTAAGAGGTTGTAAAAAAGTCAAAAAAGTATGATATCATGGGAGCCAAAGAAGGTGAGTGTTTTAAGTAGGAGTCAGCAGAATCAAATGCTGCCAGAAGTTTAAGTACACTTAACATTAAATTATGGCCATTGGATTTTGCAACAAAGAAGTTGTTAGTGATTTTGGTGGGAACAGTTTCTTTTGAATTGGACACTAAAGCCAGATTTCAGATGATTGAGAAATGAAAGAAATGATGACAGAAAATGAAAGCAGGAAAGGAGAGTAGAAACAGTCAAAGGAGAGAGTTGAGAGAGTTTTGAGTGAGCTTTCACACTGATGGTAGAAGAAGGAATTAAAAATAGAGCAAGAATTGTGGCCAGAGGGATGTGCCAAGAAAGCAGTAGGCAGTTTGACCCCAAACAGAGTTCCAGAATGAACCTATGTGATGGCTTCCCTTTTTACTAAAGTAGTCTAAGATGATCTGCTGGAGGAAGGAAGAGGTAGTAGGGTTGAAAGTTATTAGGAGAGTGGAAAAGGTTGGAAGAAGCTGATATAGAGAATGAGTGAGAGAGCCTACTAGGGAAATATAGTTGCTAAGCATTGCTGAGGGTCAAGAAAGGTAGACTCTCATAAATATTGTGATCTGCAATATTGTACTACTTTTCTCCAGCAATGCTTAGCATTCTGGTATATAGTCAGTTTTTACCAGATGGGTGCAGGGGAGGTAGACCATGGACTATAAGGTAAAGAGAAGAGGAAGTAAAGGCAAGAGGGGGCTGATGGATAAGAAGAAATGGAAATCTCAAGGAGCTGATGTTTCTTGTGAGTTCTAGTAGAAGTAACTGAATGAAAGAACTGGAAAGATAAGAGCGAAATGTTTATAGTATATTTATTATATCAGACCTGGAGCACTTTTGGGTGTTGGCCTTGAAGGAATATGATTGAAGTGGAATGATGAGGAAAATCATTGGAGATAAGGCTGTCAGGAGACTGTTAAACCCTAGTGGAAATTTATGTCACACAGGATAATGGTAGGACTTGGAGTAGGATTCAGCCAACTGAGAGTCAGGTGCTCCAAAAATATAGTCAGTCTGTGTGAACCTCAAAGAGCAAGGATTTTTACTGGAGGGTGGAGCAGAAGTGATTTGAGAGTCAGGGAGTAGCCAAAAGAATGCAACCCTGCCTCTTACCCATAAGGTAAATGAGTCTAGGCCCTTTTCTAGGTTCAGGATGTACAGAAATGAACAGGAGTAAGATCCTTGCTCTTTAAATATGATACTTCGGGATGAGAATACATTCTCTGAAAGAACTCAAATGAGGCAATGCGAAGAATTGGGGGGGCGGCAACCTGAGTCAGGGTAGGCCTTTCTGGGGGTATTACTTTTCATCTGAGACCTTATGACAGAGGTGGCCATGCTCAGGTCAGAGCAAGAGGACTTTAGGCTGAGAGAATAGCAAATGTGAAGGCTTTCAGGGTAGGGCTGGGAGGGTCAAGTTCAGTAATCTATTCCTTCTGGTACCATAACACTTTGTTCTATAGCTCTTCACACCTCTGCTTTGTATTATTATCTTCTTTAACATGTTTTTCTTTCCTCTATTATTCAGCAGACTTCTAGAGGATAGAGACCTGTCCTACTTAATCTTTGTTGCCCACAGTTCTGAGAAAAAGTTTTGATTGACCTGAGGTTAAAAATTTTGTGATAAACACTTGCAATTAATTTCCCCAAAGAAATAGCTACTAACCAATTCATTAACTAATTTGATATGTTTAGTTGTCAACTTACTTGTGCTTAAACTGGACTCCCCTTGTTATAATAGTTCCTGCCTGACAATAAGAAATAGTTTCTCGCCTGGCCGGTGTGGCTCACTGGTCACCGGTTCAATTCTGGGTCAGGGCACATGCCCAGGTTGTGGGCCTGATCTCCATGGGGGCGTGCAGGAGGCGGCCAATCGATATTCTCTCTCATTGATGTTTCTCTCTCTCCCTCTCCCTTCCTCTCTCCGTCTAATACCAATAAAGAAAGAAAATTTTTTTAAATGAAAGAATTTCTCAGTAAAAATGAAAAATAGAAAAACTGATATATTTGTTCATTGGCAAGTATTGTTATGATTTATCCCCTCTTATGATACACTAGTTCAAAATCCGTTTCATCCTGGTGATGTGAACCAGGTAGCTGTTTAAAAGATCCTTCTGTCTTTGTGCACATGACCTGCTGAATGCCTGGAAGAAGCAGAGCAGCTGAATAGAGGCTTTCTCGGAAAATGTAAGGATGCTGCAAAACAGAAGTATTCACTTAAATACACGGCACATTTCAGGGGGAGGTCCTAGCATTTAAGTCAAGTGCTGTCACTAGGAGAAATTCTCTTGTGGAGGAGCACTTCAAAAATTTCTGTAAGAGTTTATATTAATGTTTAGATATGGTAATAAGGGTTGCTATATTAATAAGGTGCCTGGTGTGTGCCGGATGAAGTCCTAGGGAGGATAGAAAACTGAGTGTAACATAAAATGTTCCAATTTATTTATTGCAGAATTGTTTATAATAGCATATTACTGAAAACAAACCATGTGTCCATCAATAGGGAATTGGTTACATGAACAACAGTATATCCACATCATAGAATATTATATAGCTATAAAAGGAATACAGAAAAGGTCTCTGAAGGCTGATATGAAAAGATCTCCAGGATGTATTTAAATGGGGAGGGGAACCCTAAGGTGCTGTCTTTGTATAAGAAAGGGATTAAATAAAATATTTGCATAAAGGTACTCTAAAAGAATGTACAAGAAACCAACAAAGGTGGGTGTCACTAGTGTGGCAGATAATGGAGTGCGTAGGGACAGTGTGAGAGCAAGAATTCTTAATGTTTCTTTTTCTAATGTTTTTATTTTTGAACCAGTTCAAAAACTAAAATTGTATTAAAGTGAGAAATAACACCTAAATATGAGGATTGAGATAAACTGTATGCCTAGCACATAATAAGTACTCAATAAAGAGGCTGTTCTTATCCTATTATGAAGGGAACCTCAAAGGGAGCCATGGTCAGGACCTCTGTAACTGCATTTTGGAAGCACGCTTGATTACTAGAAGGGTTTTAGGCTGGGTCCCTATCACCACCGCCACTTGTGACTCAGTATGTTGTTTTTTTTTTTTTTTTTTATCCTCACCCGAGGACACCTTTGCATCTATCTTCAGATAGAGTGGGAGAGAGTCAGGGAGGAAGTGAGGGAGAAAGAGAAGCATCGATGTGAGAGAGAGAGACACATTGACTGGTTGTCACCCACACAACACACAGCTCCAACCGGGGCCGGGGACCAACTGCAACCGAGGTATGTGCCCTTAGTGGGAACCGAACCCAGGACTCTCTGGTCCACGGGCCAATGCTCTAACTGCTGAGCCAAACCAGCTAGAGCAGTATGTTTTTTAATCAAGACCATTAAAGCAGTATGCATATAAATTGCCGGCATTGGGTAGTTTAATAATCTACAATATTTGTAGTGCACTTTTACCTTTCAACTGGTTTTCCCAAGATTTTCGTTTGGTCTTCTCCATAATCCTCTGATGTATAGAGAAGATGTACAGATAAATGTAGTATATATGTACATATATATTTTATATGTGTATTCTGGAAGTGGTCAGACCTCATTCCTGGTCTTTTGGGAATATAGAATATAGTTATAAAGACAAAGCAAACACATCGATATTATAAAACATTGGAAGATATTATGTAGTTAAGGGCAGAACCCTATAATACTGGCCAGAAGGACCCCGGGAGTGAGCAAGTGGCTTGACATAGATGAGACTTCACTGGGAAAGCAGAAGGATATTTGAGACTTTATCTTCTAAAAATGTCCTTCCTTCTTTCTAGCTTCTCCCATCTCCCCTCTATTTGAGAGTCTGTGTGGAGTAGACATTTGAGGTCCTTTCTGTTGTTTTTCTTCCACAAGGCTGTTCAGTCTGTAAAGGACCTATCGTTCTGTCTTTATAAGGCCCAGCTCCCTGAGTGTCTTACTGCTCTGTTCTTTTGGTTGTGTACCACAGACACCCAAGCAAGGAAAGAGGATGTGTGTGATGATTTAGGGGGATCTCTGGAACCCACAGGCAGAGTGTGGTGGTGCCAGGGAATAGAAGGCCATTCTAGATAGCTCCTCTGTCCACTGGCCTCATGGGCCTTCTCTGTACATCTACTCTGTTCTTCTTCTTTGCAGTTAGGGATCTTTCAGCTTCTCTGAGCACTTGGCTGTCTTAAAGCTCTTAAATTTGTGGATCATTCTAGCTATCTTTTACACCTATTTTAAAGAATTTTCTAAAGATAATCTGATCAGCCTAGCTCAAGTCAGGTGTCCACTCGAGTCCAGTCAGCTGTGCTGGATGGAAGTGCAGGGCACTACAGAGCCACACTTGTGAGGGTAGTGGGGGCAGGAGAGGCAGGGCTGGACAAATACTATGATATGTGTGAAATACACGAAAATACGGAGAGCAGGCCAAAACCTAAGATGCAAAAAGAAGCTAGAAAAACCAAAAACTAAGACGCACACTAAGAAAGAATAAATATTCTGAGAAGCATGTTTGATAAGAAACAATGACTCATTTTTCTTGTTTGGCCTTTGGATTCCCCTAAAGGACTTTCCGTGGCTCTTTCCATATGCTTGGTGGGCTCTAGGACAGGGCCTTGAAGCATACATGGTGCAGGAGGTTGCTCATGTGTACCATTTGAAAGAAAATCTTTCATGACCATCCCATTTTTCACCCACGCTAATTCGTCAGGACCTCTGGGCTTGAGGCCCAGTGGCATTGATGTTTTTAAAAGCTCACTAGGTGATTCTAATGTGCAGATACACAGGAGAACCATGTACTTACAAAGAGGAAATACTTACTGAAAGGGAAGTTTGTGCTGCTGATACACTTCCCTTAATTAAGTTTTTTTATATGGAGATTCATTGACTTATTCAACAAATATCTTAAGTACTTTCTGTGCCAAGGTCACTTCTCATTCACAAGGCTGACTTATAAACATGAGTAAGCTAAACATGCTCCATAGTTTGTGGAGTGTCTAATACAGTGAAGGAGACAAACAATGTCTGAGTTGTCAGAGCTATAATAGGACAAGTAGAGGGTGCTATGGAAGTATATACAAACAGCACCTCAGTGAGGGATGAGGCAGTCAGATCAGGCTTTCTTGAGGAAGTATTATTCAAACATGTTAATAACTAGAAGCCCAGCTGTCCAAGTGTTGACTTGGATCCAGTACCAAGATCAAAGTATTATACCATCAGTTGGTCTTCTAAAGTCAGAGAACCAAAGGACAACTTCTTGTTAGCATTTTTATACAGTCTCAGGAAAGTAGTAGCCACTTAGTTCTGAGAGTGCCCTAACATTCTATTGTTAAAAATGCACAGATTCACAGTCCCTACCAAGGCCACAAAAATAAATGCATACTAATCTTCATACATACATTAACAGGACTAGAGTAACCTCTCTCCTATACTCCACTTGATTATCTTGCAAATTGGTCAGTTATTCAAATTGTTACAGATCTCAACATCACAGCCTCTTTTTAATTAACCTAATTCATGAGAATTTTTTTTTTTAAATCATCTTTTTTTTTTCTCTTTTAGGTGACTCATATTCTCAATGTTGCATATGGAGTTGAAAATGCTTTCCTCAGTGACTTTATATATAAGAGCATTTCTATACTGGATTTGCCTGAAACCAACATCCTGTCATATTTTCCAGAATGTTTTGAATTCATTGAACAAGCAAAAATGAAGGTAAGTTTTGTTTTGATCTCTGGTTCTTCAAAAGCAGAAATTTAAAAATATGGGTCCATTATCTGATCTTTATTCTTTTTGTCATGAATATGTAGAGTACCATTATGAAATTTTCCCTCCAACAATATTTTGTTAATTCCTACAACTGTTTAGTTTTCCAATTACTCTGTTCTCAATGAGATATTTATTTTTAAAATTAATTTCTTCTCTTTCTATGCCTGTGTATAAATGTACTTAGATTTCCTTTGATAGTTTATAACCACCTGCCCACTGACCAATTTGCAAGATAATCAAGTGGACTATAGGATAGAGGTTGCTCTAGTCCTGTTAATGTACTTATGAAGATTAGTATGCATTTATTTTTTGTGGCCTCAGTAGGGATTGTGAATCTGTGTATTTTTAGCAGTAGAATGTTAGGGTGCTCTCTGAACTAAATGGCTATTGCTTTACTGAGATTGTATAAAAATGCTGATAAGATGCTGTCCGTTGGTTCTCTGACTTTAGAAGACCAACTGATGGTATAATACTTTGATCTTGGTACCGGATCCAATTTAACACACTGACAGCGGGCTTCTAAGTATACCTTATAATACTAGTAATTATACCTTGAAATGATGTCACTTTTAATCAGCATGTGATTCTTACAAAATTTATGTGAGATGAGTAGATGCGAATGTAGAATTCCTTACAAGGAAAAGTTAACTCCCCAAGAACACCTAACATTAGAACAGTTTAATTGAATTGTCTAATCTCACTTCTGCCTTTTCTGCTTCCTTTCTTCTTCTTTCTCCCTTTCTTTCATTTAGTGATATTTATTGAGTGCTGTATGTGCCCAGCATTGTGCTAACTGCCTTCTCTAGGTTACCTGGAAAATATAAAACTATTTAACCTTACCATTCAACTTTATTTCATGGCAGATATTTGGATGAAAGAAAAGTAAGAAGCTTTCTAATTCAAATCCCAATATTGTCCATACTGTTCTGTGAAAAATGTAATAGGCTCTAGATTGTAACATTCCAGGATAGCAGTAATTAGTGTTAAAAATAAAAATGATAATGTCTTTGTATTGGCTGTAGAATATGTAGAATATACCTTAAGATGGTAAAGTATAGACATCATCCATATTCATATTAATGTTAGAAGTTATGTACATGTTGCAAATCCAAAGTAGAAAGGGTAATAGTTTGGTAAAATGGTCCTTTGCTTGGGTTTCCTGAAAAAACAGAACCTGAGACAAGGATTAAGAGTGGATGCTTCATTTGAGAGGTGCAATCCCTAGGCATTGGAGTGAAAAGGAAGGGAATTGATGCAGGAAAGGATGAAAGGCAACATAAGATGATGTGTTTTCCCTGCTGAGTTCAACTTCACAATGAACTGACAGTGATGTAGCTGGGTGCTCAGCAGGTACACCTGCTCTACCACCCCAAACATCTTTGGGCAGGGAGTACAAAGAAACCTCAATACAGAATTTGGGAGGGAGGTAAGAGAGACTTTATCTGCCTGGCTTTCTGTCAGCCCCTGTTTCCCATTGGTCAGAGTTCACCCATGGGGAAATAACTAACCCCACAATTCCAGAGTACACCATTTGACTCCTCAGCAGCCACCTTGAAGCCAAACCCAGTGCCCTGTGGTATGACTTTCCATTCAAGTTTAGAAGCAGCAAGAAAATCCAGAACTCAGGGTACCCCTTTTCTACACAGAAACTGCCACTGGGAAAGAGCCTTTTTAGCCAAGCAAAACTCAATAGGCCTAAAAGGATCAGTTGGCCACAGAGGTGATGACTGAGGTAGAGCAAGTTTAGGGTCCATAAGCTGGAACCAAGAGAATCTGAGGAGGTGCATACAATGTTTCTGCTGCCAGTTCTATTAGAATTCCACAATACGTTCTGATTTCTCAAGTCTTATGTTTTATACTGGGATCCTAACCTCAGTCAATATTTCCTTGACCTGAAAACTCTTTATTGTTTAGATTAATACATATTTATATTTTAGCAATAGAATTCTTGAATTGTCTTCATTCATTTTTTTCTAGATGAGACCTCTTTATGACTTTGTCTATTGTATATGCAAGTGTCATGAAATCTGATTACCCGGTAAATTGCATGTTTCAAAACCACCTTTTTAGGCCCTGGTTTGAGGCTTTTAGCTGCCAAATGGAGTGTTTTCCATTTCCCCATATCTTTCCTTATTGCTTTCTTTACTTATAAAACCCTGTTTCTCTGTCCTTCCTCTGTCTCCACCTCATGCATTTTTTATCAGGTTTATGCCTAAAGGGACAGAAATACACATGAAAAGGAAATAGTAAGTTTACCTTTATAGCCTCAAGAGTTCTCTTTGGAAAATTTATTTGCCCCCCTTCCTTTTGTTTATGTGTGAAAGGTTTTGTTAGTATGAAAATATGTATTTGATAATCCATGTTTACTTCATTATGTATTTGATGTGATTTTAAAAACGTAAGTAAGCCCTGGCCAGTTTGGCTCAGCGGTTGGAGCATCGGCCTATGGTCCAGAGAGACCCCGGTTCGGTTCCTCCTAAGGGCATGTACCTCAGTTGCAGTTTGTCCCCGGCCCTGGTTGGGTCATGCAGGTGGCAGCCACTCGATGTGTCCCTTTCACATCGATGCTTCTCTCTCTCTCTCCCTCCCACTCTTTCTGAACAAAAAATGAAAAAATGTCCTCGGGTGAAGATTAAAAAAAACCCAAAAAACCATAAGTAATCCATATCATTGTAGAAACATTGGAAAATCACCTTACTCCCCAAATTTAGACATAATGATATATGATATATTTTTCTATATATCATGAGACTCATTTATAAAAAACCTGAACTTGGCTTAGTTAATCTGTTAATAAATATTCATTACTTATTCTGAGAAGTTACGAGGGATATATATTGTTGTCTTCAAGGAGTTTGCAATCTAGTTGACAAGCTATTAATAACAACATGAGAACAAAGAAAGCTTGATAACATGGAATTACTATAACCTAATTACTGCCCATAGCAAAATGGTGATTTGAATTTTTAAGAGATTGCTTTCTTTTCAGAAACACAGAACAAAATTAATTTATTCACTTAGCAAACATTTATGGAATATCTAGTATGTGCCAAAAACTCTACTAAGTTCTAGACATACAGAGATGGCTGAGCTGGCGCCCTGCCCTCATCTCACTCAGAGAGGCAGCTTCTTAGAGCAGGTACCAGAGTTAGCTAGACAAGAAGAGGAACAAAGGCTTCTAGGCAGAGAATAACAGCAAGTGCAAAAGGAAAAAAAATTGATTTGTGAATTATTTAATTGTCACTATTTTGAATTCTGTACAGGGGATATAAAGCCAATAATTTTCTGAAAATACTTTCAAGGACTGTGTGATACCCAAGAAATAATAAAAGGTAAATAGGTAAATGCTATGGAAATCACCAAAGAGGCAGCTGTTAAATAAAGAATGTAGGGGAGAAAAAAATACTAACATTATTAAACCTTAGCTAAAACTGGATGAATAGTATATAATACTGAAAGTAAAGCTAGGTTCATTTTCAAAGGCATAGGTATGGGTCATAAAATAAAGATGACTAGTATAATCAGAAATATTAAAAATGACCCTGAAGGGTATCTCTCATTAAGCTTTATGAATTTAAGTTTCTTTGAAATCTTTCATTTGTTTTGAGTTTTAAAAAGTTCATTGAGCCCTGGTTAGTGTGGCTCAGTTGGTTGAGTACTGTCCCATGCACCAAGGGGTCGCCAGTTTGATTCTCATTCAGGGCACAGCCCAGGTTGTGGGCTTGATCCCCAATGTGGGGCATGCAGGAAGCAGCTGATAAATGTTTCTCTTACATTGATGTTTCTCTCTCTCTCTCTTTCTCTCTCTCTCCCCCTCTCCTTTCCTCTCTCTAAAATAAACAAAAACATTTTTTTAAAAGTTCACTAATAGCCCTGGCCAGTTTGGCTCAGCGGTTAGAGCGTCCGCCTGCGGTCCAGAGAGACCCCGGTTCGGTTCCCGCTAAGGGCATGTACCTCGGTTGCAGTTTGTCCCCGGCCCTGGTTGGTCGTGCGGGTGGCAGCTGCTCGATGTGTCCCTTTCACATCGATGTTTCCCTCTCTCTCTCTCTTCCTTTCTCTCCCTCCCACTCTATCTGTACAAAAAATGGAAAAATGTCCTCGGGTGAGGATAAAAAAAAAAATAATAATAAAATAAAAGTTCACTAATAGTTTCATCAGTTATTATACTTTGATTTTAAAATGTCTTCAGTCTCGCCCTGGCCGGTTTGGCTCAGCGGTTGGAGCGTTGGCCTGCTGTCAAGAGAGACCCGTGTTTGGTTCCCACTAAGGGCACGTACCTCAGTTGCAGTTGTCCCGGCCCTGGTTGGATCGTGCGGGTGGCAGCCACTCGATGTGTCCCTTTCATGTCAATGTCTCTCTCTCTCTCTCTCTCTCTCTCTTCCTCTCTCTCCCTCCCACTCTGTCTGAACAAAAAATGGAAAAATGTCCTTGGGTGAGGATAAAAAAAAAATGTCTTCAGTCTCACCCTGGCGGGTTTGGCTCAGCAGTTAGAGCATCAGCCCATGGTCCAAAGGGTTGTGGGTTTGATCCCTGGCCCCAGACAAGGTCATGCAGAAGGCAACCAATTGATGTGTCTCTCTCAAATTGATGTTTTTCTCTCTCTCTCTTCCCCTCCCTCCCTTCCACTCTATCTAAAAAAATTAATGGAAAAATGTCCTTGGGTGAGGAATAATAACAACAAAAATGTCTTTGGTCTCATACAAATGAACTATTGTACAAAATGAGAAAAGTTTTGTATACGTATAATGAATATTTGTGTTTTGCTTTTCTTGTACAGAAAGTTAATATCTGGAAATGACATATTGAAATTGTCTTTTTGATATGAGGATTTTCAAGATATTAACCAATTTCTTTTTGTGGATCATTTGGCTTTCTTGAAATGAGATGTACTTGCAAATCTGTTACAACAGATCTAGGAAAGGAATTTTGTAACAGATTTATGAATCTGAGAAAACTGCCTTGCAAAAGTAAAATAAGCCAATGAGCTATAAACATAGTATTGCTAATATATACTTTGGGTAGAGAGTTTTTAGTTCTACGTTTCAATCTTTTATCAAAAGAAGAATCAAGAAATGAAGTAACTAAAATGTATAGTTCTGTAGTGTGTTCTCACAATTTACTGCATTTCATTTAGATCATTAACTTTTTAAAAGCCTGAAATAAGCCAACCTGTATCAATGTTGTTCCATCAGATCTATCACATTCATTATTAATGCAATATTACCCCCATCAGCACTGGTCTTACACTGTGTCTCTTTTCACTTGTAAAGTATCATTTTCAAGTTATCTGAAACGTTATTCATTTATTGACCTTATGTTGGTGTCTAATTACCTTTTCCACTTCGTATTGTCCTGAGCTATTTGTGTCATCATTTTACTACCTCATAAATTGAACTATTTTATTCCATCACCCTTTATCCCCCATGCCCTCCTCCACCTTCACCCCACCCCAACCCTGACAATCACCAGACTGTTGTTCAATTTCCCTCCAGAATGTATCTAAGAGTAGACTTTTTTTTTATTTTGCTAATCATTTTATACTGAGATTTCCAAACTAATGACACTAGCTTTATGAGAATACTGTACATGGAATGTCTCAGGCTTTCTGTTTAGTTTATGATTATGGTTTCCTTCATGTTTCCACATATATTTTCTGTAATTTTTCTCTTATTTATAGATATGTGGCTAACTTGTTAGGCTCTTATGTATACTTTACTGGATTACTTCAGTTTAACAAAGGATACTGTTTCAGAATTCCAAATACATCACCAAAGCACTTCAATCCTAGGAGGTAGAAAGAGGAGGTGTTGGTTAGTTGATTTATTGGGTTTTCCATTCTTTCCTTACAATGAATTGCATTTTGATAAATGAATAAATTTATAGAATGACTATTTTTATTTTATAATTTTCAATAGTGCAAGAATGTACGATTGATTTAATAACCTTTCTTAAATGACTAATGAGTAGTGTTGTTTGATTTTATTGCAGGATGGAGTGGTTCTTGTTCATTGTAATGCAGGGGTTTCCAGGGCAGCTGCAATTGTGATAGGCTTCCTGATGAATTCTGAAGAAATCTCATTTACCAGTGCTTTTACTTTGGTGAAAAATGCAAGGCCTTCCATATGTCCAAATGCTGGCTTCATGGAGCAGCTTCGTACATATCAAGAGGGCAAAGAAAGCAATAAGTGTGACAAAATACAGGAATTAGAAGGGGGCAACAGTTCATGAGTTACATTCTAGCAGATGATGGACAACTAGTTTCTGAGTTGGCCTCCATAACCACTTTTCCCCTATTTGGGAGAGTAAACTAATAAAAACTTCCTTTTCTCTTGTTTTTCTTTGAATGAAAATGGAGGTCAATTGATTGTTCTGAGCTACTGTGTAAATAATTTTTTAAATTATATTGTTTTCTTTGGTATTATAATGTGTGATTAAATGCTTCTTTGATTTGCTAAGGGGGAATAACTATTACCAATAATTGATTTTTGTACAAGAAAAAAATATTTAAATTTAAAATCTATGTTAGAATGTGGAAAGTTTAAATCAGTTGATTAAGACTTTTCTATTCCAGCAACTGTATCCATGAAGGAAAAAATGCTGCTTGACTTACTATTTCAGAAGGAGATAAATTTCTTTGTAAATAATTTAAGATTAAAAACCAATACCTTTAACCTTCCCAAAGAGGTAACTGTAATGTGAAGGATTACGCAATATTTACATAGTGGTTACAATATTCACAAAATTTTAATGTCCTTTTGTACCCGCTTTTCATTTGGATTTTTAAAATTTAATTATATTCCCTGCACTTATTTTTAAGTTTTGTGTAGATTTTCTCTCTTACATTATTGTGAGCTAATGTTTCTTTAATTAGGTGACCTAGTCTCTTACATTGTGTGTTTTTCATCCTGGGTCCTTAGCATTCTGTTTTTGGGTCCCATGGCATAATTTTTTAAATCTTGGATCTGTGGAAAATATTTTATATTGAAGAATTATTTTTTAGATGTCATTTGTTCAATGATCTGTTTTCTAGTTAAATATTCTATTAGAGAACATATTTTAAGGAAACAAGGTTATGGTTTTGTAAGAAAATTTAAATACATTGTTAGAAAGCCTAAAATTATTTACAATTTTACCTCTGGCCAGAGGTTTTGAATAGTTTCTTTTTAAAAAATTAAGTCTCCATATTGGCAAAGTTGACCTCCACATTATGAATTTACTTAAAGATATTCTTTGTTTATTCAAAATAAAATGTATTTAAAATTAATATAATAATTAAATACGATTTATTTAATACCTTTCATGATTTAGGAAATATCGTAGCCATTTAGATTTTGGTAAGAAAGTCAATTCTTCTTCAATACATATTGTAGAGAGCTAGTATATTCCTATACATAATTTGGAAAGTGCACATTGAGCACATGTGTGCATTTGAGAAAGCAGGATTTCCTGTGCTGTCAGGAGCAAATTATGTCTCGAGATTGCTTATAGCTTGACAAGATGCTATCACATGCAAAACTATGAACTTTACTTCTGTTATGAAGCAGTATAAACCTACATTACAGCAGTAATCAACCTACAGTGAGTTGTCTGAAGCCGACTAAGGCAGACAGAAGCCTCTCAACTATGAGACTGATGTATAATGCTGTCTCTGTAGTCAGTATTGCTGAGGGTTTGCAAGGTGAACCTTTTCCATTCACATGAAAACATTTCTTTAAATATATTTTCTTTTGCTAGGTGCTGTTTACTTTTCAACCATTAAATGTTGTGACATGAAGCCTTGACTAGAACTTGTTCATAATGGATAGTATATTACTTATGTCTGTATTTTTATGCTTAGCTCTTGCCCATAGTGATCTGGCTATGGTGCAAGCTCATATCTTCTGTATCATTTACAGAAGTGCTTTGGCATCTATTTTATTTTATCTTAAATGATAGTAGTTTGCTGTATTTAAAATAGATCAAAAAATGTAATTCAGTCTTTTAAATCAGGGGTACTACAATATATAGTATGTTTCCCATGGATATAAGTCACTGTCATACCTGGTTATTTATAAAAAGAATGTTAACGTTATAATTCTTTATCTTATGTATTATACATTAAAAATGCATACCAAATATAGATCTGTTTTGAGGGAGGAAAAAAATTATTTCAGGAGTTTGTTTTTTTTTTTATCCTCACCCGAGGACACTTTTCCACCTTTTGCTCAGGTAGAGTGGGAGGGAGAGAGAGGAACAGAGAGAGAGAGAGAAACATCGATATGAAAGGAACACATCGAGTGGCTGCCACCCGCACAACCGACCAGGGCCGGGGACAAACTGCAACCGAGGTACATGCCCTTAGCGGGAACCGAACCCGGGTCTCTCAGGATCGCAGGCTGACGCTCTAACCGCTGAGCCAAACCAGCCAGGGCTATTTCAGGAGTTTTTACTTCTAATTAAAAATATATATTTAATCCTCATCCAAGGATATTTTTCCATTTATCCTCAGATAGAGTGGGAGGGGGAGAGAGAAACATTGATGTGAGAGGACACATCAACTGGTTGCCTCCCACATGACCCAGACCAGGGCTGGGGACAAACCACAAATGAGGCATGTGCCCTTGGCCGTAATCGAACCCATGACTCATTGGTCCTCGGGCCAATGCTCCACCGCTGAGTCAAACTGGCCAGGGCTTTACTTCTATTTTTAAAATAGATTTTTTTCTACTATTTTTTAAGGGAAGTAGGAAATTAATATATGTTGTTGTTTTTTAATCCTCACCCGAGGACATTTTTCCATTTTTGCTCAGAGAGAGTGGGAGGGAGAGAGAAGGAGAGCGGGAAAGGGAGAGAGAGAGGGAGAAACATTGACGGGACACATGGAGTGGCTGTTTCCCGCACGACCCCAACCAGGGTGGGGGACGAACCACAACCGAGGTATGTGCCCTTGACTGGAATCAAACCCGGGACTCGTTGGTCCACTGGCGGACACTCTAATCACTGAGCAAAACTGGCCATGGCAATATATCATTTGTTTTTAAACATTGAAAATAAATATAGAGCCTTCCTAGCAACCTGAGAAAGATGAGTGGAAAAAGGTACTGGGATATATGATAAAAGTCTAATTATTTAAGGTTAATATTTTTTAAAATATGTTTTTATTGATTTTTTAGAGAGAGAGAGAAACATCGATCGGCTGCCTCTTGCATTCCCTCTACTGGGAATCGAGCCCACAAGTTGGACATGTGCCCTGACCAGGAATAGAACTAGGACCTCTCAGTCCATGGGATCACGCTCAATCCACTGAGCTACACTGGCCAGGCAAGGTTAATATTTTTTAAATGTTTTTCTAACGTTCTGCTTTAATGTAGGTTTGTGATGACATACAGTTTGATTTGAAAACCAAGAAATATTTAAATTTTTGAAAACCAAAGAATAGTTTTCTTGGATTCTTTTGGACAAAATTTAGACCACTATATCAACTTAGAGATTTCATAGGAAATAGAGTGTATAGTATTTAAAAATCATTATTGCAGTTTTACTCTTGCATCACTTCTTTCCTATTGAACCTTGACTGAAATGTATAAATATGTATTGTGTAACCCAGGGAACATATTTCCATTCTGATTGATGATTTCAGTGGAGATAGGGAAACCTCCTGAACTTGTCATATGATTATTATTAGTAACTCAAGTGGTTCAAATGTATATAGCAAGTCCCCCTCAAATATAATTTCTCCAAAAATTCTTGAATGTAGCAAATAAAAGTCAGAGTATTGTCCTTATAATCTTACCCAGTGAGTTAACTCAATGAATTGATACCTTTATAAGCAAAGCCACAATATATTTTAAAATAACAGAAATGTAGTACAATGAGTTATTTAGTTTTGTCAGGTAGCTCTTGATTTTTCTGCCCAAAGGATCCTGAACATACTTAGTTACCCTGTAGTTATTTAAGAATTTAAACCAGAAGATTTTAAAGTTTTATATTCTTGCAATACATACATGGCATTTGCAGTTAATACATTTATGGTTGTTTCCATTGATATACTTTAAAAGTAACAAACTTTTCTATTTCAAGGGAAGCTTGACTTGTTTTGTATCTATATTTATAATGTATCTTTTATTATTTCCAGGTATTGATGTACTTTAATAAAATAATAAATTTACTATTTCCCCTGTTAATATCTTTATTTCTTTGAGGTTATTTGTTTTAAAAGCTTTAACACCTATTTGCTGTCAAATTCTTGGTTCAAAAATCTGTTGACCAGACAAAAAATTATATATTTTGCAATATAAATTAGTTCAAGGTCTATAAAATTTTTTTTTCTCCAGCCACTTTAAGAAATGAAATGGTAAAGTGAGATCTTATAATTGGCTTTACTGTGGATAAACTGGCATTGGAAATTTAATAGAACATTCTATTGTTTTAAGTCAAGAGAAGATGCTGAATTGCTCTCACATTAAACTACTGAATATTTTAACTAACCATGACAGCATTGAGATTATTCAAACATCATCCAGCACCCACCTTCGGCGTCCCACATACACACATCATTACTTCTCTGACCTATTCATTGCCAACTGCTTCCTCCCTCACTCTTTTTGTTTTAACCAAACTGGCCTCTTGGCTATGTATTCCTTGAAAATGCATAATCAAGGCTCCACTTCATTACCTGCTGTTCCATCTATCTGGGACGCTTTCCCCCCAGAAACATTAAATGTTACCTTCTCAGAAAAGCCTTCTCTGACCACCTTATTTATTTATTTTTTATCCTCACCCGAGGACATTTTTTCGTTTAGATAGAGTGGGAAGGAGAAAGAGGGGGAGAGAGAGAAAAAGAGAGAGACAGAGAGAAACATCCACGTGAAAGGGACACATTGAGTGGCCACCTCCTGCACGACCCCAACCAGGACCGGGGACCAATCGCAACTGAGGTATGTGCCCTTGACCGGAATCAAACCGTGACTCATTGGTCCGCTGGCCAATGCTCTAACCGCTGAGCCGAGCTTGACCACCTTACTTAAAAGTGCTCCCATTCCTCACACTTTCTTGTTTTATATATGGCATAGCCCTAATTATCACCAAAATTATTTATATTTTACTTATTTTGTTGTTTTCCTTATCAAAATGGGCTCCCAAGAGAGCAGAGATTTTTACTCTTGTTTATTTATACCAGGTATATCCTATAACAGGCATTCAAAAACTGCCTATTAGAAGGAAGGAAGGGAGAATGGAAGGAAAAAATTTATGCATGCCTCCCTAAGATATATAAGATTTGAGGTTACTTTTTCACTTCCAATGGGTAATAAGAACCATTTAATTGATTTAATGATAACAGGTGAATCAACAGATAAACCAACGTTTCCTTTGATGTTTCCCTCCACTGGTCTGCCAGTTGTTTACTGTAATGAAATGGTTAGGAAAAAACTTGTAAGTTT